ATATGTTATTAAAAATAAAAATATATTTCTATGCGTAAAGGGCTATACAATTTGCGCTGTTTAAATAAAGCAAAAAGATAACTCTTATTTCATCAATTAATTATTTAATGAAAACAGTATTTAAATATGATTTCATAAATTATATTTTTAAAAGAGCACAATATTAAATTTATTTATTTATTTCTTATTTATTTAATTTTTTTAAGCAATTTTATTTAGTTTTTTAATAAATTTATGTAATTATACATTTCTAAGAATATATAAAAAAACACATTAAAAATATTGAATTAATAATTGTGAATAAATGAAAATAAAATCTATACACAAACTAACAATTTGAATATAAAATATTTATGATCGTTTATTTGAATTAATAAATATCTATATTAATGAAAAGAAATTAGCATAAATATTTTCCGTATATTTCTATATTCATTTATCTTCGAATTTACCCAGGAAATTGCTAGAACCTCGCTAATTTACATATTCTCATATCCAGGAAAGGGTGCGACTGTGCTTTGGGGCGAACTTTTAATTGTTGAAATGCAATTTGCGAAAGGTTAAATTTCTTTACCTTTTACTCACATCTGACATATGTAAAAGTTGTTTAAGAGTTTCACGTGGTTCAAGTAATTCGATTACACTAGAAACGCAATTAGAGACCCAAAGGTCACTGGAAAGAGTATTGCAGGTGCGGCTTCCCGCTTGTTGACAATTATTTTTGTTTGTATCACAACACATTCTCTGAGATATTTGCTCCTTTTTTTGGGGGTTCACAGCCACAAATTTCTGCTACCCATTACTTTAAGACTGGCTTAAATTATGCGGCTAATTAATTGGGCGCTTTGCTGAAAATACCAAAATTAATGGCAACAATCAACAACAAACCCGGCGACGTCGGAGGTCGGCAAAACGAAATTAGAACAGAGCATAAGACGGCCTCTCCTGCATGCAGGTATCTCATTAGCTGTCTCATTAACAGTGGGCTCCCGCCCTTGGGTAAAACTGCCCTTAGCTCTTTCAATCACTGCTCACATAAGCTCTCTTACGATAAGATCCTCGGTTGAGAATCTCAACTCGAGATGTCTCATTAACGACACTGACTGCAGTCTGAATAATTGATAAGTAAGTTTATGCGCCTTCCATTATTCTTCTACTTCTATTCATTACCTTTGTCAGTCTTGGCAAAACTTTATTATCTCTTCTCTTTCTTTTATCTGCAATAAATCCGCAATCAATTAAATATTATATCTCTAAATAATCTAATTAAACTAAGCGAAATAAAACCTTTGATTGAACTTTTGTAATTGCTTGAAGCCAGAACAGTCAAAAAATCTCAATAGTCATTTGCAATAAAAACAAAACACAATTAAAACTAATCAGTTTTTAGAATCAATTCTAACATCATTTATTTTCATACTCATTCACGAAGATAAAGAAAATATTGGTTTTGTACGTCTTGACGTCCGACTATTTGTCTGTCCGCCTGAACACAAACCTAAAGGTTGATATTTGAAAAGCAACCTCGGTTAACAACCCAAGAGAATATATATATGTAATCTACTGGAAAAGGGGGCCAGAAAGGGTAAGAAGCTTAATTGAGTTACAGTTGACCTGCTCTATTGATTTGGCAAAAATGTTTCATACATATTAGACTCTTGGGGTATGCTTTGGATTTGTAGGAGCCAAATTACTGCAAGCTAATTATTGTGTTTAATTTCATAAGCAAATCTAATGAATAATGTCTGGACTCTGAAGAAAATAGTCTTTTTAATTTGAATAATCAGGTAAGTCCTCATTATATAAGAAAGCCTATATACATATGTATGTACGTACTAAATAGTATATATAGTATATATATTCCACGAAATTCATGTGTATGTAACACACATGCATATATGTATGTAAATGTAAATTGCTAGTAGTACACACTACTGTAAATAAATGAATTTCGTGGAATGAATGAATTAAATTTACTTATTAGCTAATTTACAATATTCATATTTCGTTTCCTATCTATGGGCAAATTGTTCAGATAATTTCTTCTAGAGAACGTGCTTATTCAATGGGTTTCACTAACTGAATAGAATAAATGAATTAAATTTATTTACGTATAAAATATTGGTATTTATTCTCCCATCGATGGGGAAATTGTTTAGATTCCTCGTAGAATACATGCATATTCAATTCGTTTCACTTGTCGATTCATGAAATCTATACGTTTCTCGATAAATTCAGAATTTAGGACATACTTAGATGTTAGTATGATTAAACAACGCTTGCAATGTAAACATACTTTATGCATGTACACAGTGTAGAAGACAGTTTAATGTTCGCAAGTTGAAAATTGGAAATTTTAGATAGCTCCCGCACTGCTCGGATGCTGATTAAAGCAATTTACGGGAATGGGTCCACGACATGCAGCCGTGCGATGTTTGGCAAGCAGCTGGTAAATATTTAATGATTCACCAAAAACCGCAAACGGTTTCTCTTCTAACTGGCAGCAACTGACTGTGATCCAGCCAGTGCAATTGGTTAAGTGCTGAGCACCCTAGAGGGCTGACGGCGAGAACATGATGTGCGCAAATTTATGCACACAAGCAAAGAACGAGCTATATACATACGCTTAAAATGTAGATGTATGTGCGTGTTTATATATTTACACATACATATACATACATGTTTGCATATGCATGTGAAACCACAAACCGTATGCGATTTGCATAAACAATAAGCGTTTGCAAATGGCCTATTTTATGTGTAAGCCATTGGGCTTTAAACCAATTAACTATCAATAATAATTAATGCGTTGAAACTTAATAGAATAAACACCATGTGGCATAGCCCTCGGAACCCACGTAATGTGTAGGGCAATTAAAGCGGAAGCTTATACAGTTAAGCTTAGGCTAGGAAATGCTTGAAGGCCATTGAATTTTCTGGGTATAGGCAAAAGCTTAGTGTTATGGCTCGTAAGATAAGAAATATAAAGTTTGTTTGCTCAATTTTACTGTCTTATTGAACATTTTCCCTGACCCTCATGTAAAGCAAAGCAAAGTATTGGTGAAAATGTCAAAGTTATTAGGGAGAAGTCTAGTCGAGAAGTTGCTTGATCAATTTATCTAAGCATTAATTAACTACATTACTACATTACTACATTACTTACATGTACTTAATTATAATGATTCAAAATTGTTCAACTTGTTTGAAATGGGACAGTTGCTCTGATGGTATTTCAGATATACTTGAAGCTGGTTAATTTAAATGATCGATATTTATCGATTTGAGCACAGTTAAATTAGTTATCATAAACTAATTTAAGCCTGCACTGCGTACGGTAGAAAAGAATACATATTTCGAATCGTATTGCAGTCGACTTAGTACTTTCCGAGATTGCTAGGGTCAAAAAGTCGATTTGTAACTGATGGTCAATACTCTGTTACATATAATATGCTCTCATTATTTTTACATATTTCACAAATTATTAAACTATTATAAAATAAAATAAACGATGTAAATAATAAAAAACTTCAATTCTATATAGTAAATATGAAAAGTGTCACTATTGAGAGTTAATATTTGAAAAAATTAAAGCATAACAAATGCTTGATTCGAGAATAACTGATTAAGAGAAACCCTGAACATTGAGCAATACTAATACCTAATTTTTTCTATAGTTATTTTATATACATAGGAAGGAACACATATACACACACACACTCATAAGCACACATACTCACATACACACACTCACAGACCCACAAACTTTAACATAGAAATTGAATTGATACATTTTTGTTAAACGTCCAGAGTTACCAATTTCACAAGGTATAATCGTTTACTATTTAAAAAAATATTTAAATTTTTGTTCAAAATCTGTGTGATGACACACAGTAGATTTGATATTTTCAAAGATTGCTTGAAAAATATAATGCAATTAGAAACTACTATCGATAATAAGCAAACGGGATGAGCTATAAAGAAAGGAATGATAGAGCCTGCGTATTGTATACAACAGTGAAATTATCTATTATACATAATAATATTATGTATAATAATATTGGACATGGGTTGCTTAGGGATCCATATACTCTAGGGAGTCTGGCGTGTCTCCTACAGCGTATCATACACGTTTGCATGAAACCATTAAAACCTGAATTCCCATAATACCATAGTAAAATATTCTATCAATTTGAAATAAGTAATAAATCGCTGGTCATGATGCCTCAAATATTGAAATGAATAATTGAGCTTACCACACAGAACTTCTCGCTCTTCTTGGTGCACTCCTTGAGATACAGATGTGCAATTTCCTTGGAGTAGTTGGTGCAGGGCGTTATGGAGCCCACGCCCTCGTTGTACTGACCGCACATGTGGCACTTGAGGCCATCGACAAGCCCAAAGCCGCCGCAGCAGAGCAAAATGGCGCCCAGCAAGAGGAACGCCCATGGAGGACCCGAAAGTGGCGAAACAGTTGCCCGGCTGGCCTTGGGCAGCTCCACGGCTGAAGCGACCTTCGCAGCAGAAGCAGAAGCATCAGCACCAGCTGCAGCTGCAGCAGCGGCATCGGCGTCGGCAGCGGCAGCGGCAGAASTGAAGGCGGCTTTCGTTGACATTGCTTTTTGGTTAGCGAACGACATTTTCATATGAGGTTTAACCTTTGACAGGGACACCAGATGCACTCGCACGCACACAAGCACAGCAGACACGCCCACTCGCAAATATTGCAATTGAGCTATTTTCGTACACTTGATTGTTTTTGTTTCTGTTTCTTCTCTTTTTTTTTTTAGTTTTATGACGTTTAACGGGTCTTTGATTATATTTTGCGGTCAGCACGATTTAAGTCTGTTTGAATTTTACAATATTTAACGGGTTTTGCTAACCTTTAAGTAAAAGAATTGAAAAAACTGCTTTATAAGCTGAATTGAGTCTAGCATATCCCGGATTTGTGTAACTTCGATTAGTTAATTTCACATTGGTATACCATAGCTAATATAGTTTTCTTTTTTTTTTTTTTTTTTTTTGAAAAGTTGCATCCATTTAGATTTAGTATCTCTTAACAATTATGAACCAGATCTTAAGTCCCAAATCAAATATGAGAAATGTTTTACTAATATAAGCCGGCCGGTATAAGTAATTTGACAATAGAAAATATATTATTTTGTTGCTTTATACAAATAATTCCTTCAGTTTCAATTAACTATACATATATCAAATATAAGAAAGAAAAAACATTCCTGATACTTCATTTAAAAGTTCATTTAAAAAACTAAATATATACTAGTTTTTTCAAAATTTTTATATGAACCAGTGTATGAATAAAAATTTCCAACTGACCAAGCTCTAAGTCTTTAAGACAACTAACCATCGATAGGCTGCTGAAAGATTTTTAAAGTTTGTTGACTTGATAACTTTTAAGGTTCTACATTCTATATGGATATTACAAAGCTATGATACACTCCTTGAAAGTTGACTCTATATACCTAATTAAGTCTGAGTGAACAGAGTACATCAGTCTAGATGTGTGAATAGCACAACTAAGAGATCAAATATTTGAAGCTCTCGATGCTCATTCACATCGTAAAGAGAGTATATTGGTATATAGGTTTCTTAATATTCTAATATTTAATACATATTGATATATCTTTATATGTACGACTATATGGAAAATATATTAATGGAGGCTTTATACTAGCTCGCAGCCCTATCCTTAGCCACTGATATATAATTCTATATAGTACTATATAGAAAACACAATGTTTTGAGGTCTATTTCGATGCTCGTTCGCAGAGTAAATTGATTTTAAGACAGTCACGATATCTATGCAATACATATATACTCATATATCTATAGATATATGAGTCCGTATTCCACCATATAGAAAATACAATATTCCAGCTCTATGCTTATTCGCAGAGTGAATAAAGTCTTGTTTAAAGTCTAACATAAACGTAAAGCACTTTGTCACTGATACGTCGGTTGATATATCTTTTATGATACACCCGCCTCCTGCAGCATATTCCTCCCACAGCTGAATGCCAAAGTTGAACTCCTTTTCTCTGTATATGTTAAATGCAATCATTTAACTTGCATTTGATACTTGATTTTGTTGTTTCTATCACAAAAGTTTGATATTAAATGACAAGCAATCGGGGTAAATGGGGAGTGGGGAATGGGGAGGGGGTAAGTGTGCAGAAGCAAATCTAATGTTACCACTCGGGGTGGCCAGATGCTGTCGGATTTATGCCCAGCTCACGAGCAACTAGGCCGCGTTCCAAAAGAAATTCCCATACAAAAATTGCTTTCGAATTGCTTTAGTTGTAGCCGAAAGTTGCTGGAACTTTTACGTGTGCTCTAGAGTGGGAGCGGGGCTGGGGCTGGTTGATGGTTGATGGTGGGCTGAGACCTTAAGCTGAAGCGTTAACTATTTCCACAAAATTTAACTCAATTTGGAGGAGTACTATTTTGGAGCACAGCAGCAGCAGCAGTAGCGGCAGCCACTTTTTGTGCTCGGTTTTCTGCTGCATACTTTTGGGGCTTTGATTTGATTCGTTTGATGCGGAAAGTGGGGCAGGTGGTGTTAAATTTTTGCATAGAAGAGTGACCGCCACGCCACGCCACTCCACGCCACGCCAAACATTCAACTGCTGTCTACTGCTGTCCACTGCTGCTGCTGCAGCCAATTAACAAATTATTTTTAATTAAACGAACGAATGCGCGCCATGGTTCTCTTTTTCTTTTTGTTTTTCTTTTTTTTGTAATTTTGATGCTCCATGAAGGGCGTCATTTAAGCTGGCTTTCCACTGCTGAATACAACATATTGTGGTACACCAATTGGCCAGTTCTTAGTCCTGCTCAGTCTGCGTGATTCGTGTTAACACTTCCCTGCGCCCCGTCAAAGACACAACTGCAGTTGCCTACTTCGAGTGTGTGCCAGAAGCTGCTTCGTCCGCTCGAAGCGTGCGCCGCGTTTGAACAGAATTCGTCGACTGAATCAACAAAATTTTGGCCATCGAACATGTCTCACGACGGACATCGAGGGCTCGTTCCGCAATAGTGCTCGTGTTCCGTGCTCGTACTCGCCATCCTACGTTCGTATTAGATGCAGTGCTGTCATAATTTTTCGAGCAAATAGAGCCAGATTGGCAAAAAAAAGAAGCTAAAAGAAGCTAAATTCAGGAAAAAATAAGCCAAAATAAAAGCTGGGTTTAAAAAACACTATTTATACCCTGAACCCATTGAAAATGGGAAATCAGGGTATAATGGTTTTGTTGAAATGTATGTAACAGGCAGAAGGAGGCGT